CACTGCTGTGGTCGCAACCACCTGCGTGTGATCCCAGAGAGACTGTAGCCCTGTAACTGTGTGCAGATCTCTGATTCCTCCCATCTTCTATCATCCTCCCTTCCAATACCACTCCCCACGCTGAGTGCTCACATACAGGCACTTGGGAGAGGCACTCAATCATGTCACCTAACCAGAAAAATCTCTAAGAGCTTCCCCTGTAATGCATACGGAAACACAGCAAAGCCCACGGCGACTAAATAGCGCTATTTGATCGATTTCACTTCTGAATACGTTATTTGGTCTTCTGTTAATGAGCTTTAACATCAACCACTAGAAAGCACGTGACCTGCAAAAATCAATGTATGGTTAAAGAATTCTGTTTTGGCATCATGAGCTCACTGCCCTCCTGCATTCAGCTGCATGCACCATGACAGCAGGCAGGCAGCAAAGACCGACCGGCCTTCTGGCTCTGACCTTAAACCAAGGCAACTCAGAGCAGCTCCTACTAACTGCACACATTACTACTACTCAAAAGCACTTGGACAGAACGGTCCCTATCTAAGTCTGCCTGTTTGTCAGAGTATTGCCTGGTTAACAGACTACAACAATGTGGTAAAAATAGTGCTGATAATAAGCTCCATCTATAATAATAATAGTACTCAATATATTATTTTTAAGGAATTTCTTTAAAAAGTAAGCTCTCCTCCATCACCTGTTGAACACAGTCCTGGAACCAGATTTTAATGAAATGAAACAGTAGCTTTTGATAATAACCACACCATAGTGTGCAGGTAAAATACACTCTTTTTCCCACTTCATTTAACCCATTGAGTTCAATGGCGAGATCAAGCCAGTTTCTGCAATTTAAGTTAAAAATGCACAGGGATACGATCCACTAGCTCTAAGATGCTAAAGAAACAATAATGTGAAACAGCTGAAGTCCTGTATATGCATTTTACTTCCCTTCTTTTAAAAATGAAATATATTCCTATAACACACTTCCCCCGTCACTTCCCCTATCACAGAAGCCTACATTTACTTGAAGAACAACTCTGAAAACTAAAACACTTTGTTTCAGTTTCTACTCCAAAACAAATATTAACCAAAAATATAATTGCCTTGGAAAAAGTAAAAACATCCACAGTTATTCAGCATATTAAATGTAAGAATTAGATCACTCAGCAGAGGTGCAATTATGTGTAAAAGAGCAGTTTGATGCAAAGTCATAGTTATAATTGTGCTTTAATAGCTACCAGAGTAACAGATTCTTAAAAATACATACACCTTTTAAAAATATATATACCTTAATAATAGTTTTACATTTCAAAATGTCTTTAGTAGTTTCCAGCTTGCTTATTTCAGAACAGTACCATAAAATTAATTCTGCCTTTGGAAAGATTACACACTTTCAGAAAAAAAAAAATGTAACAAAAAGGCAGAAAGCTCTCTTAAATGCAGCTTAAGAAAATGGCTGCCAAAGTAAGGACACATCCAGAGAGGCAAGACAAAGATGTACACTAAAGGGAAAGCAAACTCATGTTAATATTTTGTTTTCAAACAGAAATAATTTCCTGCAGTATGACAAAAAAAAAAAAAAAAAAGAAAAAAGGAAAGGGGAGTGGGCACTGGCTCTTTCAGAAATTCTGTGAAAGCAAGCATGTATGAGTAAAATCATTGGATGCAAGCACACAAAACCCCACAGCAGAACGCCTGAACCATCTGGGGTGGGGCATGTCAGCCACAATCAGGGTAAGCGAAGTGTCCAGAGGCAAATGCTATTTCAGCACAGGTCCCAGATCCTGGGAGACGGTGCTGTACAGCAAGCCTTATTCTTAATAGACCTCCAGGGCACACCCAGATTGCTCAGAGACTAAATGCTTAATCACAGCAGTCCCTGCTTGGCACCCGCAAGGGAAAGCTCTGGGCTGGAGACTGCAGGCTATTTCCTGAGCAAGCAGCCACCCGTCCCTTTCCAGCCACAACCAGCCTGCCCCAGCTGCTGCAGCGGGGGCTGGAGGTGGCCACTGGGGCTGGGCAAGCACAGCCACTACCTACCACAGGGAGCTGGACTTTCTCCCTCGGACACAGCTGCCCCGTGCCCTTTATTCCTCAGGCAGCAGCAGCGCTGACCCGCTGAGACGGGCTGCGAACAAGTGTGAGAAGAGGCATTTCGTCAGCTCAAGCAGCTGTTGTCAGCATCCTCCCAGAAAAAAAAACAACAGACTGGAGAGCAGTCAAACATGCCGATGTGACAGTGACAGCTTCTTCCCTGCCAGCCAGCAGTGACAGCCACAAGCACATGCTGGCCCGTCAAAATCGGTCCTGCCATTCAGCACGTGCTGGACTGCCCAGGACAGGGCTTTTCAGCTCACCTTACTGTATTTTGCAGGCACAGAGAGTCTACTGCTCTAAGCATTTTCACCAGTAAATTAAATGAAAATTGAGAAACAGCCAAACACCAAGAAGGTGACAGAGTAACAAATGTCACACTAGGAACATGAGATTTAAGTTTTGAAGTGTACATCAGATTTGTCACTTGTAATGATGTGTGCACACTAATTCCTTTTTACAAAGCTCACAATCCTAAATTTCACTTTCACTATCAGTGTAGTAATACAGCAATGCTGGTATACAGAGAAAATAATAAAGCACACTTAAAAAAAAGAAAAAAGGTGAATTTGGAAAGATACATTTAAGTCACACAGAAACCTACTTTGCTATTTCACTGAACATTTAAACTTGCACACAGCGAGAAAAATGCAATCACAACATCAGAAATATTAATCAGCTTTTAAATGTCACCAGTGCACGTCCACAAACCAATTAATACACAGTCAACTCTCCACATCATGGAAAGAATTGTTATTAACTGGGTAAAGCTATTTCTTATTAGAAGCATGCTTGCACAATCAGAAATAGATCCCACATCTATATTGCTGAGCTTCAGAAAATTAACACACCAGTTTTGGAAGGCTGAAAGCCCAGGCCAAGCATCCCCAGCCTGAGGGGGCCTTCCACAGTCATAAAAACATGCCAGCAGGCTGCAGCCAAAAGCCCAAGTCCTGCCCCCCACCGTAATTACATCCCTCACACTCAGAACTGCCAGCACCAGCTGTACAGATCAGCTCTGGGAATTCATTTTGCTAAGCCCCAACCCAAGACAGGGAATGGGCAGAGACAGATTTCAGGAGCAGCCCATGCTTCAACATGCAATAAATATGACTGTGGAAGTGTGCTCCTAAGTACAGACTTAATCTAAAATGGCAACCAGCAACGTTCTGCTGATGCCAGTAAAGCAATAACAACACAAGCATGATGTCCAAGTGAAATAATTCTTTATTGCTATTGGCTTTGCCTTCATTTTCCTTTCTTGAGGCTGCCTCGCTACACAAACCACATTCAAGCCCAATCTATGTGCAGAGACAGCTTAAAGTGAAAAACTGTGCAAAAGCCCTGTTTACTTATGTACACTGCAGCTCAAGCAACACTGATAAATCATGTTTTGAAGGGGAAAAAAATTATTTTGTGTTTTGACAATGTTTAAAGTAAGAAAAAAAGTACAAACTGACCCACAAAGATACAGAGAATTATATTGCTCAGTTTCAAGACCTTTAATACTTAAGGACACTGAATAACAGGGTGGGATGTGAGTCTTCGCAACCAAAGGTCATCTCGAGTTTTAGAAACGTATTATTACCTGAGCTATTCTTAAATTAATCTTGAGTGTTCAGAAAGAACATTCCACATCCCGGAAAAGAACATTACTTTGATAAGCCCAGCTTCTGAAAGTACTTTGAAGAAAAGCATCAGAGAGCAAACATGAGTTAGCTCTACAATTTAACATTCTTCCTCCTACCACTCCCTGTGCCTACTGAAATACAAAGAGAAGGTAAACCAGCTCCAGAAGTCAGAACAGAGAGAAATTCTACCCCAAGAACAACAATTCTCAGGCTTCTGCTGTAACCTGTAGATCATTTTTCTTCCCACCGTCTGTTATGAAGGTACCAGAGCTTATAAAACACAGCTGGCATAGCTGGCCTTGCTAAGCTAGCTCACAGCCAAACCAATTGATTGATGAGCTGCAGATGATATGCAGCCCCAGCTGCAGTCAAACACATTGCTGACTCAAAATTAAAGCAGGCTTTCCCTTTCTGGACAGGCAGCACAGGATTGTAATCAGTCAGAGACAAAAAAGGAATTATTTGATACAGCACTGGACACTGCCTTTCAGATTTAATTAATAGGCGTTAATAGTAAGCAAGGTGTAAGAGTAAATTAAATAAGAGAGAACCTTTTTGGATTTGAATGCCAAATCATGTCCAGATTTATTGCCTTGCTGAAGTCACTAGGCACATGAACAGTCTGGCTGTGAGCTCTATTAAGGAAAGGAGACAGGTATTCATTGAGAATTACCTCTGTTCTCCAACTGCGCTAGAAGGGACACAGAACAAAGGCCAGCTGGTGCTGCCTCCTATTTAAACACTCAATTACCTTTAGTGAGGCACGGGGTGGAAGCCTTAATAACTATTTTGCGACAGCTACTCAGAACAGGCCTGCATTTTTTATTTTTTTTTAAATATGGCTAAAGCAGTTCGTAAAGCACCGTACTGACAGACCTACTGACACGTCCTGAAGGCCAGCTGCAACTTCTGGAACCCCAAACCGACACCGCGGATACTCCGCAGAGCAAGGAGCCCTCAATTCACCTGGCACAGCATAAAGTTGCTCACAGCATGGACAAGCACACAGACAGCGCACTGACCGCTTCCCCAGCGTTATGAGCGCTCCCTGACACCCAGCTCAACCCTCCCCCTGCAGAGATAACAAGGCAGCGGCTCCACGAAGCCCCCCCGGACCCCAGCGGCCCGGGGGCTCCCTCCCCACCCGCGGCCGGGCTGCGGCGAGGCAGGGCCGGAGACAAAGCGGGGCCCTGCCCGCCGGGCTCCGCGCGGGGCCGCCGCCCCTTCCCCTCCTCGCCACCCCACAGCCACCGCTCGCCGCCCGCCTCAGCCCCTCACCTTCCAGCCCCTCCATGGCGCAGCCCCGACCGCGGCCACCAGCGCCCAGCCCCGCCCGGCCCAGCCCGGCTCGGCCCGGCCCAGCCCCGCCGCCGCTGCCGTGGCAACGCCGCCAGCGCCCGGCCCGCCAACATCCGCCGCTGCCATTGGGCAGGGCGGCGCGGGCGGGCCCAGCCCTCAGGGCTGACAGACAATTATTTATTTATTTATTTTTTTAAGCGTTATTTATACTTAAACCTTACCAAAATTACCATTGTCTTTATACACTTAACAGCCATTTCTCTGGTTGTTCCAGACGAGTCACTCCACGCAGATCTCCTTGTCCATAAAACCCTGGCCACTGTCACAATCACACCTGGGAATGTAACTCAAAGCAAAACAAATACATAAAAACTTAAATTCCACCTGAGATCTTGGCCACACTGTCTTCCCTGCATTGCCTTAGCACAGGACACACATCCATGTGCTGCATGCCAAACAGCCAGCATGCTAGCCATGATAAACATAGGGTTTAAATTGCCCTTTGAGACAAAAAGCTTGAAGATGTACAGTAATGCTACAATTTTTCTTGGTAGTTGAGAACCATGCTGAAAATACATTTCAAATTTGCCTTTGATCTATCATGCTTGTAAAATTACAGGCCCTGCTAGAAGGAACTAGTTTGCCACCATGTTGCAGAGTCCTAACTTTTGCAAATTATCTATTAAAGCTTTGACATAAAACTTAAATGAGCCAAAATTTGCCATAGCTGCCTGCTTACCTAAGCATGATGGTAGCGCTGCAGAAGTTCTCTTCCTTTCATGATATTTTCATATTTGGACTGCAAGTTCAAAAGAAGAGGCCTAGGATAATTTCATCTTTCAGCAGGAAAATCCTTTGTAATGAAACCATAAGCATAACTTTTATCTTGTGTTTGCAATTTAGTGAAGGGTTTTGTATGAGAAAGGGGTTTGGTTTACTTCGATTCCTTGTTTCTCTTTGAAATTTGTGGTTATTTTTATTAGAAATTAGGGCAGGAGGTAACTTCAGCTCACCCATCTTTAAGTGTCTTCAACATGGTGAGCTAAGTTAATTGCTGGATTTCCCATTATACCCAATAAAGATTTGTCTCTGTAGTTTATGCAGTCTATGGGAGGATGGAGGGTGAGATCTGTCTAGCCAAACGTAACGCCTGTTTCTGGAGGTGATGAATCACAGCCTAAGCTCCAGCCAAGAGGAAAATTAGCCTTACTGACTAATTCAGCACCAACTATAAAGTGAACAATTGTTAGTGTCACGTGAGTAGCTCAGTAGACAAGTAAACACCCATGTTAGAGTAGTGAAATCCTAACCTAGATGTCTTCAGACTGAATCCTGTACTGGAAACAGATGTACTGTTTAGTTTTGCTTTGTCAAGGTGCCATTGATCTATCTCATTATCTCATTACTCATCTGAGAAGTGAAGGAAATAAGATCTGGCTTATAAAGCTAGTGGGCAAGTGACGGTGCTACTGCAAAGCTAAGAGATTCTCCGGGCTTCTGTGGCTGGTGTATGAACATCCATTGTTTGATGGACAGCATACCTTAAAAGACTCCTGGTCTTTCAGTTGTTGTGAACATATGGGAACTGGTTGTGAACATATGGGAACTGGTTCTCTATTATCATTGCTACTGTGCCACATGAATGCCTTAATAAATTTACCTTAGTTCCGTATTTAAAAGAAAAACAACACAAGCCTTTGCTATTTTGCTGTAAACCTACTACTCCAAATGCAAGTCTGTTCTACAAAGACATTCTTATAATATTCAGGATTTCTTATCTAAATTCTATGATAACTTTATTAATTGCTAGTTTGCAGTATGCATTCTTGTGCCAATATTGGTTTCTAGCTAAAATATTTTCCTCATTGGTTTATCTCTTTCATGTATTTATAGGCAATTAGCATACATTCTGTTTCAGTATTTGCCTTGTTCAGCTAAACACAAAGTAGAGCTCTTCTAAGGTGTCTTCATAAACTGTGCTTCTCATTTCCACACTCATCATGTTACCTTTCTTTTTTTTCAACTATTTCTCATTAGTTCGTAATTCATATGTGATCAACACATTAAACCATCCCTCAGAGGTGATCTTACTGTATCACTTAGAGTTTTTCACCTCTTCTGGGAGTATTTCTACTAATGCATCTCATGTTACATTTGCTATGTTATTTTAAGCTTGTAGGTACCACATCTATATTTAGTTCCTTTTCCATATCAGTTGTTTTGCAGGGGCAGCAAAGGTAGGAATTTTTGCTTCCAGACAGTCATACAGTCTGAACAGTGCCTGTTCAGAATCTTTGGTATCTCTCAGGAGGACCAAGTAAACATGGCCCAAAGTGCAGCAGCCACATCTTTCTCAATCATACTTTATTAGAAGAGTGGAAATATAAACACTAGCATAGACACAACTAGGCACGGACAAATGCCAGGAGGAATTCCAAAGAAGAGAGATGAGAGTTACGCTGCGCTAAGCTCAGACAGGAGTGTAGAGGTACCACCTTAGCTTCAGATTCAGTTTCCAAAAAGGCTCAGGTCTCTTTCAGTAGGTCAGTCATGAAAATTTCTCAGCTTTAGTTGATATAAAAGAGAGGGCTGCTAACAGGAAGAAGTCCTGAGTTTGTGACAAATTTGTGAAGGCCCAATTTCCCTACCAACTGGGGGCATAAATGCAAATCACAGCTTAGTCTGTATTTTTGGTTGCATAAGGCAACATTTTCAAAAGTGACAAGAGACTGGGAATTTCAGTCTGAGGTTTGAAAGGGTCCTGAATTTCAAAATTCACAGGGAAGCTGTGATACCAAATCTTTCTACCAGAATCTGTGAAGGCCTCTTGAGGAAGAACGTGAGGACTGTATGCACAGGTCCCAGGTACATTACTAGTACATGAGGATGTCTCTTTGCTGCTTGTGTGTGATACTTGTGACTGATCACACAAGGAACTCTAGTCCTTTCTTTCGTGCCGGCCCTATTTGTCATGGAGATCCTCATGTGATAGAGATAATCAGATTATGATCATCTAAAAGGCACATATTGATCACAGAATGTATTTAGTAGAATGCAGTGGGAATAGGATTCTGGGCCTTTGAACAATTCATATGGGCAACAGTCACCCCAGGTAAAGAAAGCTGCAGGAAATGAACTATGAGTCTTACAAATAGTTTGGGCAGGCCAATAGGAGCTGTAGAATAAATATGGTTTCCTCTATATTTTAATATGGAAGATCATCTAAAGTGAAGTACTCAAAAATCGTCAGTCACTTCAGAAAGTACAAATCCTGGGATACAGAGTTTGGCAATACATTGTCCTAGATCTTTGCAAAGCTTTGCAAATCCTTCATTTTGGTCAGAAGTTTTATAAAAGGACTAAGTCCTGTAAAATGATCAGAATTTCATTAACATTTCAAATGCCTTTCTTCACCATTCGAATCCTTGTCATGATGACTAAGATCTTCATAGAAAATCAAAACCCGTTCACTATCTTTCATGTTAATAATGAACATTGGATAAAGAAGGATTTCCCAAAGTGGCATTTTAATTAATACACTTTGCACTAAAACTAGCTTCTGGGAATTCAGATATGCCTGCACAGGGGGACTTTAAAATTTAAATATTCCTAATAAGCTTTTTCTTACAATTAACATTAATTGAGGACTGCAGACAAGAATGATTACTCTCCTACTAAAATAATTCCTCAATTGAATTACTACAAGAGTGCCTTTTGTTCTTCTTTTGTGGATTATAGTCCTGATTTATATTCAGAACTGGAGTATTGTGATTTTGCTATCAATCTTTTTAGAAACCCAGCCTTTTTTTTCACTACTCTTTATAGTTTTGTTTGCTCTGGGACTCCCACATTAGGCAGAACAAGACCAGAGGCCACAATGAAAATTGGTGAGCATTGCTGGAGTGAACATATTTTGCTCATGAATTCCTCAAACATGAATTGCTCAATGTATAAAGCTGCATCTAAACTGGAAGCATTAGAGCAAATGAGATGTAGTAATGCCCAAAACACCAATAAAATAACAGTTTAAATTCTGGAATGCCATGCTGTTAGATATATTTTGTTGAACCAAGTAGCCAGTAATAAGAGGAGGCCAAGGACTGTGACTTTATCTGGGGATGTAATTCTTCAGTTGGATAGCAAACAACAAAAGAAAAACTATTTTCTTCCATCAGGCTGTCTACTGCTGGAGAAATGCCATATGTTCACGATCAGTAAAACAATACCACCACCAAAAACAGTTGTCCTCTGATGACCATAATTTCTCAGCTCTTCATTCTGACCCTAGTGCTGGCCCAAGTGTTGATGTACTCAGGTGGTTTGGGGATTTATCCAGTTAGGACTGGGTAAGTGACACTCAACCATCATCTGTTCTGCGCATTTCTCTGATTACCTGCATGGCTAAGTGAACTGCTGTGCCAGCACAGGGAAGGGTGTCTGCATCAAATCAGAAGGGCTAGCCAGAGACTTAGGGGAAGACAAAACTGACACTTCCATTGGTAGTTTGTGGTGGTTTAAAATGAAGATAGCATAGAGGTTTTCTCAGGCAATAAGCCTGCAAGTTTCTCATCTCCTACCTCAGATGTTACATATTCTTCCTGATCTCTTTTGTTTGTTTTTCAAAAACAAAAATGGCCCTTCCCCATTAAAATGCCTTTTTTTTTTTTTTTTTTTCCTGATCCAGAAGCACAAATAAACAAAGTAATTGAAATACAACCCTGTTTGTAGGGTAGGGCTATGCTGTATCTAAAATGCTATATGAAACTTTAACAGGCCCATTATACAATCAATCTCATAGGACTGGTTTTTATTTTTATTTTTTTCAATGATTTTTTTTTTTTCCAATTATTTTTTTTTCATGGTTTTGTAGCAGCTACTTTAATAGTTGAAGGGACAAAATGACAAGCAAGCATTTCCGTTTCTTGCTTCTCAGTCTGGCTAAAATACAAACTGTTGGATGTTACCCGACAGATGAATGTTTAGAGGCTGGACCAAAACAGCAGCAGTGGAAAATCCTAAACAGTTAGAGCAGTAGCAAGTTTTAGAGAAGTAATTTTCCCAGACAGTGCTTCTGCCAGACATGTTC